AAAAAGATTAGATGTATGCGTATCTGCCAGTATATGTATGTAGGCTACGTTTGGAGTTGAACCATCCTTTTGCAGTGGCTAGGCGTTTTTGTCGTTAGAAGAGTAAATGGTAATTTATATATTTGTCAGTGGCTTGGCGTTTTTGCTGTCAGAAGCGTAAACGGAAATTTGGTAATTTGGTCTAACACACAGTGATAGCCATCGTATCTAGTTCTTTTTGCACAACCTTTTGAACGATCTGGAAGTGTACTTTATTCAGTCTGGAAATGTGATTACATAAATTATATACAGTAATATATATTGAATAATATGTAGCAATTAATAATATTCAGTGATTATTTTTGGTTAAATTCAGTGCGTGCAAGTGATTTATTTAGAAAATTATGAACATTGTTATTCGCATGAGTCAGCTCTTCGAACGACACAGTAATTTGATTCATGCAACCACAACCACAACAAAAAGAAAAAACCATAAAAAAAAACAAAAAAAAAACGTTGCACCACAAAATCGGGTTCCCCATTCCCCCATCGTAACAAATTGTCACAAAATTGTCTACCCTCCCCCCTCCCTAAAGCGTGACGTGATTTAAAAAATTTCTTCAATAGCGGTTTCCCTGTGACAAGACTTAATGGTCTTCTTTGAGTATCCGCGTTCTTAATTTTTATTTTTTATACTTTATTTCTTAATGATATCTTGACTTGTTATCTTTTCTTTTTTTTATATTATTTGTAACATATGTATCATTAATATTGTAATAAAGAACAAAAAAAAAAAAAAAAAAAAAAAAAATTAGATTTTATAACAAAACTGATTAAGTTAAAAAGGATATCTCCAGATCGGTTTCTTCTTTTTCGTCAAGGTTTTCCCAATTTGTTTAAAAAACATAGGAAGAAGACTAGTAGCAGAATAAATATTTTTGTTTGATTATAAGTTTTGGTTTTTTTCATCACCTAACAAGGCCTACCCAGTAAAACTAGAAACTATTATGGCCATGTTTATAACTTTTGAAATATACCAGTAAACTGAATAAAGTTGCTAGGATACCTAGATTAACATATAAGTAGCTGAAATACCAAAGGGCATTAAAAAGGATGTTTACTTTCTGAGAAATCCTTTTTTTAAACAACATGCTAAAACAGAAGAAATGTTGAATAAATAAGACAAATTTTTACGAATTTTTTTTTTTCTTTAATGCTAATTTAAAGTAAAATACAACATAAGTAGAGTAATTTGAAAAATGAATATTAATTATTAAATAAATTCATCTGAATTAGGGTTGACCACCTTGAGCATATTTAAAAATTTATAAAAAACATGTTTTTTTAACCCTAAAATTTCCCCTATTAGATAAGAAAATTAAAAAAATTGTAAAAATTTTTTTTTAATTTGGGACTACAAACCTAATTCCGAAAAAAATATTTAAAAAGTTTAAATTGGAAAAACCTTATAGAAATGTAAAATTATTTTTCCGCCTAGTGACGCATGGTGCGCTGCTAGGATCTCCTAAAATTAAAAACTCACTTAAACAAAATAAAATTGTATCTCAAAAAGGGTTTGCAGTTTTGGATCAGACAAATAGTTGGATTCGTAAATCTGGATTGGCTTTTGCTTCAGAAATAATGACTATATTTTATGGAGCGTGAGAATGAGAGTAAACGTAATCTGCTGTGGTTAGCCTACCGGCATCATATGTTTGAAGTTCTTCTAGCTAACAGTTTTAACATATGTCTTGGACAATATCTAGACTAGATATCATAGTTTTTAAATAATTCCGTGAAATTTGGAATGATTTAAATCATGATTTTTTAAAAACAAAACTCCTCCGTTTTTTTTAATGTAAACATTTCTTTATTAATTTATTATGTGAACAGCAAAAGATAATTCTAAAAAACAAAAAAAAAAACAAAAAAAAAACAACTGTTTTAAAATAGTGTTTTGTAATATATAAAATACTTTTGTTTTTCAATTTTGTCGAAGTTTTTCAATTTCCACTCATTTTTTGACGTTCCCCAACCCCCTCCCTCGTAATGCATTATTACATTTTATTGATCCCCTCCCCCACCCAAAGTTACGCAACAATTTTATACCCCCCACCCTAATTTTTTTTTAAAAAAAATGTTAATTAATTAGTGCTTTTTAGTCTGTTTAACATTTTTTTTCTTCTAAATAGTTCCGTGTAAGATTGTATAAGTTAATATCAATATATTAACATGATCCCAATTTTATACAGCAAACTATTCTTCGGATATATACAAGCAAAAATATTATTTTATAAATATATTTTTCTCACATCTAGCAATGTTAACGTGGCCTTCTTGTCTCTCAATGTCGAAATATATAGCGCAAAATGTGCACTGCACATAGACAATATGCACATAGACAATATACAATTCGTTAACAGTCTGTACACGATGTGTACACTCCGTTAACGGAGTGTACACATCGTGTACAGACTGTTAACGGAGTGTACAAATCGACTAAGTAAGATTTAGACGCAGTTGATTTTACAATCAATATGTACGTTACAATAAGAGCGTTTTGGCTTCGTCAGATACTCTTATTTAAAAGAAGTTTTTTCTAGATTTAAAAAAATAACTTATTAACTAAAAAAAATTTAATTAACTAAAAAAAATAAAATGTTGCACCACAAAATCGGGTTCTCCTTTCCCCCTTCGTAACAAATTGTCAGAAAATTATCTACCCCCTCCTTAAATGTGACGTGATTTATAGACAACCCCTTGTCAATTATATTTTAATATAATTGGCGCTAAGCCTGCTTGCAAAACTTTTTCAGAAAACATAAACAATATAGAGAAAAGAGAAAATATTAGGGTTGTCTAGTTTAGACTATTTGTTTTTTCACTAATTTAGGAAACATTTAATGTTAAAACCAGATTAGAAAACGACAAAGGACCTAATCCTTTAAAGTATTTAAAAACGTGATAGAACGTTTTTAAATCGTTTCTTTGAGCTTTGAAAAAAAATAAATAATAATAAAATGCTAATTTTAATAAACCATATGTCAAATCCACTTTTTTATGGCGCGAAAGTCTTGACAAGAGCAACCCCCCATTTAAATTTTGTTTTATTAATTTAGGTAAAGAGCAACCAGCAAATTAAGTTTTTTTCGTAAAGTACTTAAACTCTGATAATCATTACACATGATTCTGAAGTGTTTATCATCAATTTCTCTATATAGCCTTTGGATTTTAAAATGCCAAAAATATTTTTTCATTTCCTTATAGTAACACTGTTACTAACAGACTATTACTATTACTAATGGTAAAACCCCTATTACTCCTAAGTAATGATACAACTTCCTTTTAAATCATTTTTCTAAGGACTGAATTAAACTTTTTACTTCATTGGTAATTCAATCTGAAAGTCTACTAATGATATTTTCCAATGCTTTCGAAACTTACCGTAAATATATTAAATACATTCAATGCCTTTACAAAATCATCTTTTATAAAAGCAATACAGTGTATGTACAATATATAATAATTTTTAATCATATTCTAATTGATATTACAATAATATATAGTTCAGAAAAAACAAAAGCAAGAATAACAAAAACTTTTTGTGATAATTTTCTTTATATATATATGTATATATATATATATATATATATATATATATATATATATATGTATATACATATATATATATATATATATATATATATATATATATATATATATATATATATATATATATATATATATATATATATATATGTATATATATATGTGCATATGTATATATATATATACATATGTATATATATATATACATATATATATATATATATATATATATATATATATATATATATATATATATATATATATATATATATATATATATATATATATATATATAGAGCAAGAATAACAAAAACTTTTTGTTATAATTTTCTTTATATATATATGTATATATATATATATATATTATATATATATATATATATATATATATATATGTATATACATATATCTATATATATATATATATATATATATATATATATATGTGCATATGTATATATATATATATATATATATATATACATATGTATATATATATATATACATATATATATATATATATATATATATATATATATATATATATATATATATATATATATATATATATATATATATATATATATATATATATAGCAAGAATAACAAAAACTTTTTGTTATAATTTTCTTTATATATATATGTATATATATATATATATATATATATATATATATATATATATGTATATACATATATATATATATATATATATATATATATATATATATATATATATATATATATATATATATATATATATATATATATATATATATATATATATATATATATATATATATATATATGTGCATATGTATATATATATATATATATATATATATATATTATATACATATGTATATATATATATACATATATATATATATATATATATATATATATATATATATATATATATATATAAATATATATATATATATATATATATATATATATATATATATATATATATATATATATATATATATATATATATATATATATATATATATATATATATATATTAAAATGCATTCTTTAATTTTCAAAGAGTTACAATTTTAACTGCCATGAATTTGTGATTATAATAATTCAAAAAAACAATTATATATATTTTTTTCTTGCTTTGATTTTTAAATATTTGTTTTTCTTAATGTTTTAATATATTTGATAAAAAATTTTATCTTTGCTTTAAGCTTAATTGAAATTATTGTAATGTTACTAATCTGTACTAGAGGTCTTGTGACCCCTAAGTACAGTTTTATTAGTGTCTCTTTGGTAGGGGAGAACGTATTGCAAGTTATTTTGTTGCACTGTTCTGCAAGTCTAGCTAGAATGATTCTTTAAATAAAAAAATATGAACTGATTTTTTGAAAATAAATTAGCCTTAAAAATAATAGTATATTTTGTAATGTGTAATATGCATTTTTCCAGAGTATGTTATTTAATCAGCATTTGTCTGAACAAGAACCTGAGGTTGTTGAAGTCTTTATTTCAGATACACCAAAAGTCAATTTAGAAGAACCTTCAGTTTATGTTGAAAACGGTGAGCAAATATGTTATATGTTTCTCATACCTTTATGGTTTATTTGTTATTTTTTTAAAAACTTTTTATGATACTGTATAAAAACAGTACAACCTAAAATCTTATTACTATTAGTAAATTTTTTATTATTCCAGTGTTAGAAAATTTAAAATGCTTTGAAAAAAAAATTGCTAAAAAAAGTAGATTCAATAAAATAAAATAAAAAGTACATATAATTAAAAATTACATATAAAAAAAGTATAATAAATATGATAAAAAAAAAAAGAGTCAATTACATCAAATAAAATACAAGTATGCTTAAAAATATGCTTAAAAAAAATAAAAATTAATAATAGTTGTTCTCTACATGAATCAAATGTTGCTATATTTCTACATTTTCAAAGTTAAGTTTCAAAAGTAACAATATGAATAACTGTTTTGAAGTTAAAAAAATATATATATATTTGAATAAAAGTTTTTTTATTCAAATATTTTTTTATGATACCCCACTATGTAGCAGATGAATAAATTTATCTATTTTTTTATTTTTATTTATATATTTTATTGGTGCAAAAAAAAATTCCATTTAGCCATAAAATTATTAGATTAGCATTCATATAATTATCAAATAACTTTTTTTAAGCTTTCTATTCAAATATAGATTGCATACTCCAATTTTTAGAATAATTATTCCCTTATCCTCTATTTAGCAGAATTAAATCCATTTTTGCCTTGAATTTTTTGGATTGCTTAAAAATATGCTTAAAAAAAATAAAAATTAATAATAGTTGTTCTCTACATGAATCAAATGTTGCTATATTTCTACATTTTCAAAGTTAAGTTTCAAAAGTAACAATATGAATAACTGTTTTGAAGTTAAAAAAATATATATATATTTGAATAAAAGTTTTTTTATTCAAATATTTTTTTATGATACCCCACTATGTAGCAGATGAATAAATTTATCTATTTTTTTATTTTTATTTATATATTTTATTGGTGCAAAAAAGAATTCCATTTAGCCATAAAATTATTAGATTAGCATTCATATAATTATCAAATAACTTTTTTTAAGCTTTCTATTCAAATATAGATTGCATACTCCAATTTTTAGAATAATTATTCCCTTATCCTCTATTTAGCAGAATTAAATCCACTTTTGCCTTGAATTTTTTGGATATTTACTTTTGCAAGACTTTTAGCCATGACCAAAGAGTTTTTGGAACTTATACAGGTTTTTTTTAGGTCTCTTTTTTTTTCAGGTTAAAGCTAAATTTGCTGGTGTTATTTTTAAAGTTGTACTTGTATGTAAAATAAAATTGAAAAAGAAAATAGGGTAGTGTGAAGCTAATCTGATTAAAAACATTCTAAGTTTTGTATTTTTTTTCTCTTTTGCTTTTGCAATAACTTTTTTTATTATTATTACATTTAATTAAGTGAATGTTTCATGCATTTTTAAACAAAAACAATGATTGTGCAAAAAATGATTGTTAGTATCGCTTTTATTTCAATTTTTAATAATTTCAATTTAAAACAATAAATTTTATTTCAATAAAATTTATCGCTTTTAAAGTAGCAGCTCAAAGTTCACAGTAAGGAGAGTCACTTTCTTTTGTATTTTTTGCCCCCATCAGCACTTTTTTGCCAGCATTTGATAGATCTAATAGATATAGACCTGAGGCTCTAAAACTAGATTCAAAATTTTTTCAGTTTACTTTCAGCCAAGTTAGTCTCAGCCAAGTAAGTCTAGTTAAAAAAAAAGCCTTGTTAACCAACATAAAGCTGGTTTCTTGAAGAAATTGTTCAATTAAAGTGTTTTTTAAAATATATATAAAGTATTTTTTAAATATATATAAAGTATTTTTTAAATAATAGTATAAATTTGGAGATATTCTTGATTACTTTGTAAGCAAGAGTATCTCCAATTTTATACAGTTCCTGTCTAGAGTTACCAATTGTACTCTTAAAAGAGTACATGTACTCTTTTTGAGCAAGTAAAATTATGTACTCAAAGTAAGTACTTATGTACTTACTTTTTCAAAAGATTATATAAATCTACTTTTTTTAAAAAAAAATTCACTGATATCCATAATTTCAGTGTGTGCAGAAAATTCTTTTAGTTTAATTGTCGATTGCAATTTAATTTGTTTGAGATTTGATTGCTAAGTTAAAATAAATTTAACTTGTTTTGAATATTTTTATTTCATTATTGCAAGCTAAATAATTTTCTTTTTTTTAGAGAGGAGGTTTAATACAAATCCGTTCAGGGTAATTCCATATGAAATCATCTAAAAAAAAAACATTTTTGATACCCTTGTCTCAAAAAAAAAAAAAATGTCTCAAAATTTGTTCATTTTTACCTCTGTATAACTGTAAAAATTTTAGTTAATATAATGCTGACTCAGCATTTTAGTGATTATCTGAAGTGACTACAAAGCAACTTTGACATATAATATCTAAATAATGGCTTGGGGAAATTTCTTTAAACTTGGTTTCCCAATAGATTTTTACTCAAGGAATCCAAAAATAACACCCTTAAGACTTGATTGTCTCAGGAAATGCCTTGTTTATTCAATTTTGTTCAAAATTATTGACTTGTAAATTCATGATTTTTGGAGGTATAATGAAGACTGTGGCCCAAAATCCAGAGTAAAAAGTTTAATTGTATATCATTATTTTATCTTAATTCTACTCAAAAATACTAGATTCATCAATTGTCTCTCTAATTGTTGATCAAAATTTGCGTTTAAAAATTGTGTCTTTTTAGAAAAATTTAAATTTTGTAACGAAAGCAATTGAAATGTTTTTTTAAAACATTTATTTTAATAAAACATCAAATAGTATTATTTATTGACTAGTTTAGGACATTTATAGTCATGGGCTAAGGTGGCCTCTGTCAAACTCTCCTCCTATTCAATCTCCCTGGATTTTTTTTCTTTCGATTTTTCTTTATACTTAAAATGAATTAATAATAAATCATTATTAAAACTCAATTTAAAAACATAATTTTTTTTTTCAGTTTAAGTTTGAGAAACAATTTATTTTCATTATTTCAAATCGATAATTACTTACCTCTTATTTCAAAATAAGCACTCAAAATTGAGATATTTTCATGATTTTAAAAATCATAAAATTAACAATCAATATCTTTATGTTATTATTTAGTAGTTTAGTAAATTTATTTAGTCATTGACAAAATTAAGGTTGACAATTTTAGAATTTATCTTTCTTTTTGCATTTAGAATTTATCTTTCTTTTTTTTCTTTTTTTCAAATCCAAGGATTTGAAAAAAAGAAAAAAAGAAAGATAAATTCTAAATGCAAAATAGGTTAATAAATTACAACAAAATTATTTTAAATGTATTTAGTTTTTTTTTGTAACCAACTGCTTATATTCTCCAAATCTAAATCAGATATTTTGTACGTACGACCTAATATTGTTGTGGGTGTTGAAATTAGGCATATTACTTCAGAATTAAGCATTGCACACTTGTCATTTCTCATTAGTCAAAAGAAGTTTTTACCTGGTCGATGGGGAAGTATAAATCTGACTTTCATATCAAGCTCATTTACATCTTCAGCAATCCCTACCCACCAGAGGATTTACCATGACTGGTAGCAAAAAGTATCCATTCAGCATTTAAATCAAAGTCTTTACTGTGATTACAATGATTGATAAAGTTTTTAAAATTTTTAAATTGTGCTGCTCAATCATTGGAAAAGTATTTCACACTTGATACACCAGGTAGATTTTCTTTGATATATCTAGTTATATCTTCCTGAGTCTTGTAAATAAATCCTTATGGCATTCGCACCCTATGGCAATAAGAGTCAGTTTCTGAAATATTTTTTTTTATTTCATACATTAAAATGTAAAAGAAGTTTCTTTAAAGTTAAAATAACTAATAAGACTATTTTTGCAACTCTGTCAATAGTGTTCTCAAACTTTTGTTTTGCTGCCGGCAATTTGCTGTGTTTTGAAAGACTAGCTTCACTGGTGAAATTCCAAGCAATTCTATAGTATTATCTAACTTAATTTTTTTCTCACTTTTTGATTCCCATTTCTCCTGTGAATTTAAATCTTCATCAGTTTCTACAGCTTTTTTGTAATATTTACTGCAGAATTTTCAACCTGGGGTTACATAAACATTTTCTTTCAAAAATTTTGCCTAATCAAGGGAAATCTTTATATTACCTAAGAAACAAATTTAGTTTTAAGTTTTTAAAATTGCGAAGAAACTATAAAGTTTTTTATAAATAATAAATTGTTTTTAAAATTGTTTTTTAATTTCCATACCAATTCTGTGGTAAATAATGTTAGATTTTATACCTTTTATAGCAATTTTTTAACTTTCCTTGTGTGTTCCAAAAGGATTGCAACACTTTGTAATTTTTCTCTTAAAATATTTTCCATAGAATTGCTCATGATAACAACATATAATTTTTATTGAACAATATTTTTTTCTTTAAATTTGCTCACCATATTTTTCTTCTTGTTTTTCACAAGGAAGATCTTTGAATTGAGAAAAACCTTGTTTTCTAGGAAATCTAGTTTTGTGGCAATGAATGTTAAGACTATTTTCAATGTCACGTTTCTCCATATTAAATGTTTATTTATGTTACCTGCCAAAAAAATAAAAAAAACAATAAAATTCTCAATCATTCCTTAAGAAAATACAAATAAAAAAAGTAAAGTACAACCTTTAAAAAGAACAAAACAAAACTTTTGATTATTTTTGATATAATAAGAGGTAATCATTCACTGATTTGAATTGAAATAATGAAAATAAATTGTTTCCCAAACTTGAACTAAAAAAAAATCTATGTTTTAAAATTGAGTTTTAATAAGTTTATTTTTAATTTATTTTAAGTATTGAAAAAATCAAAAAAATCAATATAGGAAGATTTAATGGAAGGGGGACAAAGTTAGACTCCATAAGTTAAAGTTAATTGTGTTTGAACAAGAGATTAGTACTGAACATTAGTATGGAATACTGTTGTCCATACATGGACAACAGTATTCTATACATGGATTTAACAGTATTTCATACATGGACAGATTAGCAATTTTTAGAGATAAAGAATAGAATCCAGAGTAAGAAAGTGGCGAGCGCAATAAAGAGATGCAACCTTAGCAGATGTTAATTTGAGCGATGATAACTTTAAAGATTGGCTAAAGAAAGACCTTAAAGATGATACTAAAGCAAGATGTGTGGTTTGACACAGATCAATAGAACTCTCTTCAAGTGAGCGATCTGCCTTGACAGATCATGCAAAAGGAGCAAAGTACAATATAGAATTAAGAAAAGTGAATTCTTTGCAAAACCAAAAGAGAAAAGTTTTTTACTATCTGTCTTTTTTGACTCTAATGAGTCAATTACAGAAAAATAAAAGACATTTGACTTGCGTGTCAAAAAACTACATGTTACCAGAGCTGAAATTGTTTGGCAGTCTAAAAATGTGGATATTGGTTTTTCTCTATGTTTTAAATGGTGAGTTGAGCCATGTTTTTACAAATGACAAGTAAGTTTGAAAATATATAACTATGCCAGTATTTAATAAATAGTAAATGTAAGCATAAAATTATAATATATAAAGTATTATAAACTTTTTTTTAGCCTTGGCTAATAACCCCTTCTAAATCCTATAGTTTAACTGGGGCCGGGGCCCCAGTCACTTACTAATGACACCTTCAAGTATTATCTCCTGGAGATAATACTTGAAGTTAAGGTTAAGTTAAGGTTGCAAAATAAGCTATTTTAATGATGGAAATCGAGATCACAGAGTGTATGGAATTTGCAGAGAAAAAAAGTGACCTGAGTTACGTTAAGAAAGATAATGGATTAATAAGAAAAAGATTTGAAACAAGAGAATAAATTTATAGAAAAATTATTTGAAGAACTTAAAAATAAGAAGAAAAAAATCACGTTTTTTATTAACAAATGACATATATCTTATTTCAGTATATCTTATTGTTATTATTATCTTAAGTTGTTTCTCCTCTAAAGTTTTCTTATTGTGTGATTTATTGAGAAATTTTGGAATTTATTAATTTTAACTAAGATAAAAAATGCTTTAAATGGATTGTGCCTTCCATAAGAGTTTTTTTGATATAATAACTAGAAACTAAGAAAGCCAACAAGTAGTTGTTTATTTTAAATATTTGTTAGCCGTCATGAATGTTTTGTTTTTGATTTTAGCTTTTTTTAAGTTAATTGTTTAAATTTGTGCTTCAGTCATTGTTATGACTGACTCTTCAGAGCTTCAGTAAGTTAAATTTGTTTTAGTAATTCTGAAATTTACTATTAATTGTTAAAATGTTAATACAACTTGAAAGATAGCAATATTTAATTGATATACAACACAAAAGTATTTTTAAATCTTTTTGGGCAGAGTCCAGTTGGTAACACTATTCATTTCAGAATAATGAATACCTCCGATTATATTGTTCTCCATTTTGGACTAATTAAAAACTCCAATATTGTTGTTTTCAATGTTGTACTAAGGAATAACTTCATTAGTATATTACATGTTAGATTATTAAATGACTTCATTAATATTGTTTTATATTACACAGAAATAATATTGTTCTCCATTATTCAAGTTCATGTTGGACTTTGAATATGAAAAAAGTACTTAATTTAAACACCCTAATACAACTTTTTGGGTTTTTAGTAAGACATTTGAGATCAATACCAATTTTATGCCATAATGGAATCAGATATAGTACAGGAGAAACTGATTTTTGAAAAAAATTAAGGATTAATGAAATTATTTTTTTTTAAATTCTTTTATAACAGGTTGTGATTAATTTTAGAACAAAAAACTGAATTATGCTCGAGTCCACCAAAGAAAAAGTTTAAAAAAGGTAAATGTTTTTTATCTTTTAATAGATCATTTATTTCTTTAATATTGTGAAGTATTGTTTAATTATTATTATTAAATTGTTTAAAAGTTATTATCCCTTTTAAACTATCATATATAAAATTAATTATTTAAATCTTGTATTATTATCCCTCAAACTTTTAACTGGATCAGTTAATCATCTATTACTAGTGGCTTTTTATATATAAGTTAATTAAATATAAAACTTTAATTAATTTATATATAACTAGTGGTATATTATATATAAATTAATTAAATCTTATATTATTATCCCTTAAACTTTTAACTGGAGCATTCATTTTTTGCTATTACTAGTGGTTGTAATATTTTTGGTGGCAGATGCAGTTCAACAATGTTTTAATTGTTTTTGATGACCACATTTCCAGTTTTGTCTAACGCTTTTATATTATTCCATGCTTTAAAAATATTGAATTTTTTTTGTCTATTTAAGTTGAAGTGTGAGACCACAGAATTCACTTTTGCAAAAGAATAGGAAATCTCTTAAAACATGAAAAGTTACATACTTATGTTACTTTCTTTATATAATCTAAACAAAAGCATAAGTTTATAATGATTATCCCCTGTTAATGCTGAGGCCAGGCTGAGCTCTGATGCTGACATCAGACAGCCATCATTTTTGTCTGTATGGAATTGATTTGGACTGACATTGGCTAGCCAATGTATGTCTGGAGTGATTTTGAACTAACTAAAATGATTATATATATATATATATATATATATATATATATATATATATATATATATATATATATATATATATATATATATATATATATATATATATATATATATATACATATATATACATATATATACATATATATTCACATATACAGGCTTGGATAGGAATGGCGTGCGATCGAGCGCTATTGCTGACCACGCAAATTATTTTATTTTTTGACAACTTGACCACGATTGTTTAATAAACAATGTTTATATGTTTTGATGAGTTAAAAATTTCAGAAATGTTCTGAATGTAGAAACAGTAAGCTAAACTTAAACTAGGAAAAAAATAAAAAAAAAACTAGCAAAAAAAAAAAAAAAAACTAACAAAAAAAAATTCCTAACGAAAAAAAAAACGAAAAACAAATTCATAACGAAAAAGAAATAATATAAGCGTATTTATAAACGTTATTAAAACTTTTCTTTTTAAGCATTATTAAAGTAACAAATTACTACAAATGATTGATTTAATAAAAGAACAAATTTTATTAAATTTATTAAAAAGTGTTTTATATAATATTTTTAAATTGTATAAACATTTATTTTGTCAAAAAAGTTGCAAAAAAAATAATTGTTTAAAAAAATAATGTAGTCTTTTTAAAATAGTAATTTTTACTAATTTCATGCTCTAATTAGGGAGTCTAATTAAAAAAAAGGTTTTGAACTTTTTTATTCGTAAAAATAGAAGAAGAAGAAAAAAAAAAAAATGCGCCTGCGATTTAAATAAATTAACTGCCAACAAGCTTTTTAATTTAATTTTAATTTGAGCATTACAACTTTATTAATTAGCGCTTCGCGTAACGAATTTAAAAACTATTATAAAAGATTTAAACTCATTTCTAACAAAATTAAAAAAAAAAAAATAATAATAATTTTTTTACAAAAAATAAAATGTTTATTTCAAACATTTTTAAAAATCGTATGAACATTACAAAATGCTTTAAAACTTTTTCATTAAATCAACAAAATACATGCTTATATAAGTAAATAAAGTTATTTTATATTCTTGTATAATTCACATTAAATGTGTAAAAGTTAGTAGTCACAAAAGCTTTTGAACTTATTCACAAATTAAGTAACTTAAAAAAATTCTTTCTAAAAATAATGGTTTAAAAATGTTTTAGGAAGACATAAGAAAATAGTTTCAAGCGTTTAAATTTATCATAAAAAATAAATGCCTACACAGGCTTGGTCGGGAAGCGGGTGCGATCGCACTCGATATTTGACCATAGAAATTATATTTAGTTGCGAAAAGCCGGCCAGATTTTTTAGGCGTTTTGAGAACATTTCAAAAACAAGCAAAAAAGCGCAATAAGATAAACTGGACCGATGAGAGACAGTTAAAAAAAAGAAAAATAGCTTTTAACGCAAAACTTTAGGCCAAATAAATACGATTAGAGCAAATATTTTTGAAACGTCGCTCTTTTTTGTATATAGTAACAACGTACTTATAATGATTGTTTAATAAAGAAACAAATGTTCTTCAATTTATCAAAGATTATATATATTATTTTTATTTATATACTTATGTCTTATTTCCAGTGCTGGAAATAAGAGGTGGGGGGGGGTGTGTGTGTAGAAGAGCTATAGTCCCGGGACACACAATGTTATGGGCCGAGAAATAGTCAAGAGGACCTATCGGTATTTTTAAGTCATTTTTACTCTGTTGCACATAAAAAAGGCCACCAAAATAATGCAGCCCCCAGCCCTGTAAAGTCCAACAAGATTAAACCAGTAAAACTAACGCTACATAATTTAATTATAAATAAAAAAAGTTTTTTCAGTACCTGTTTTATGCTTCGCGTAGTTTGGAAAGTTTAACATATTTGAAACAGTTCTTCTTAGTAAGATGGACAAATGAAATAACTAAATCATTGAGTTACTGCGGAAATTTAATTAGCTAGATAGAAATTAACTAAAAACATATAAATACATCCCTTATATATAAAAAATAAGATTATACTAATTAAATTCATAATATATTTACAAAACGTTGACAAGTTAAAAAATATAAATTTAAAACATTTATTTTTGTAAACAAATGTTAGTTTAAAACATTTATAGCTTTATGGATGTGACTCTGAGAATGAGCCATTGTATTAAAATAATTGTTCATTTGATAGTATATTCTTATAACAATTGATGCTAGAATTCTCAACGAAAACATAACAAAAACAAAAACAAAAACAAAAAAAAGATTTTGAAAAATAATTCAACAGAATACTCAAGAACAGTCGCTTGAATTCTTTAGTATTTCAGTTATTTATTAATTGAACCAATAGAACTAGTTGTTCGTAAATTTGGCGGGTTTTTTGTGTTCGCGAATATTCTTTATTTATTTTTCCGCACTAAGATGTTTGACAACATTCAAGTTTGTATAAGTTTCCATGTACGTCCGTAAAACAAAATCTTTTAAAATTTACGATAAAATGAACTTATTATTTTGCGGACAAACAAGGAAACATACATAAACTGAAATGTTCTCAAAACACCTGAAAAATCTGGCCGGCTTTTCGCAAGTAAATATAATTTCCGTGGTCAACCCGCTTCCCGATCAAGCCTGCCTACATAAAAAAAACTTATTTGTAACGTTTTTTATTAATTTACACAAGCATTTATGTAAATAATAACTATAATTAATTTTATGGTTTTATTTAAAGCCTTTGCGTAAAATAAAAAACTTTAGAAAAGATCAATGATTAAAAGATATTTATTATGTAACACTTTTTTTATTGCATTCAAATTGTTAAAACATCAAAATAGCCGTGGTCAAGTTGTAAAGAAACAAAAAAATTAGCGTGGTCAGTTACAGAGTGCGATCGCACGCCATTCCTGCCCAAGCCTATATATATATATGTATATATATGTATATATATATATATATATATATACATATATATACATATATATATATATATATATATATATATATATATATATATATATATATATATATATATATGTATATATATGTATATATATATATATATATATATATATATATATATATATATGTATATATATAGGCTATATATATATATATATATATATATATATATAGCCTATATATATATATATATATAGGCTATATATATATATATATATATATATATGTATATATATACATATATATACATATATATATATATATATATATATATATATATATATATATATATATATATATATATATATATATATATATATATATATATATATATATATATATATATATATATAGGCTATATACAATTTTATTTTAAATTTGTTATATTATTTGGTATTGAATTCACATCCATATTAAATTTGGATGAAGTTAGAGTTTCGACTGTTTGTAGTGAAGTCCTTTTTTACTGCAGTATGGAGTAGGCATAAATCACGGGGTAAAGCTTAAATGGCGATAATGTTTATCTGATGGGATAAACTAGGTATTGGTACTGAGCCTCTTTGAAATGTCGGTAAAAATAAACTTGATTCCAAGTAGAAATTTATTACCACCACAACATAAATTATGATTACACAAAGCAATATTTTTTATTTATCAAATACCTCCTTTCATTTTATATTTATTTATTTTATATATTGTAAGTAAGTTAAACATTTGTATTTAATAAAGATTTAAGGTTACTTATGTGTCCTGTTTTGTTTTAGGTATACTTTAATGATAAAATTACTGCTGATTACGATTTTTCTTCTTAAAAAGAAAAAGTGTTTATTCTGTGCATCTGTTTGTTTTTCTTTGTTTTTATTACTTATCCTCGTTTATATCAAAAGTTTTTTCCATAAAAATGTTTCATATTTCTTTGTAGGCTTTCATTGCTCAGTCTAATGTATCTAAAATTTTCCATTAGAAGTTTTCGTTTATCATTTCTATTACATGCGCGTTATTATATTTTTACTATATGCTTTACAATAGTGTCTATATTTTGTTCTGAACATCTGTTCATATTTTTATTTTTTTATTTCTAATTTTTTCCTTATTTCACTTGACAGCTCAGTCTAGTCCTTTGATGCATGTTTATGCTTTTTTTTAAAATATTTTTTTTGTGCTTAAGATTATAAATAACAAACCATTACCTTAATTACATAGATAAAAAAAACTTTATATATTATTTTTAATTTTATATATTATTTGCTTTAAAAACCTTTATTGATACATAAAATAATTTTAGTATTGTGATTCTAATGAAAAAATATATATATATATATATATATATATATATTATATATATATATATATATATATATATATATATATATATATATATATATATATATATATATATATATATATATATAAATTGAAATTAAAAAAGAATATAAATTACATCAAACAACATCTAGTGCACTAAATAATTATAAAATTTAAAACCAATAAAACAAAAAGCAAAATAATTTTATGTCTACTAAATCAAGTAATAAATTTCAAAACTTAAATCACTTCTCAAATGAATCCACTGGTTCATTTCACTTTTCATTTAACTGAAAAGTGGATGTGAGAAACAAAGCATTTTTAACATATCTATGTTCAATTTCTTAAAATCCTACATAAATTCTCGAATTTTTTTGAAACCCATCGCAATTGTTAGGCTTATTCAAAAAATAATAATAGCATTAGTGATTGACCAAAACTGGAAATACACACAAACCTAAATAAACCAAAATTTCAGGTATACTAGTTCAATACCAAAGCCAAAACTGACATTTTGACAAACATTTTACCAAAACTAAAACCAAAAATTTGGCTAAACAAAAG